TTGGATGGCGCCACACACTTCCCAGAACCATGACTTCACCTCTTTCTCATAACAGTCACTGCTCTGCAAACTGAAAACCATCTTTACGAGGTGAGCTGACAGAAATGCAGTTAAAGACAGTTAAATTATTTATCGTGAGGCACAACCATATGGCTTGTGTTCAGCTTCTCCCTGAAAATGGAGCTCAAAGAGGAGTTCTCCCTGCCCCCCTTCTCTCGCCCTGGGACCTCTTTTGCTGGAAGGGTAAGGAAAGGATCAGGTTCATGCAAGGACATGGAGACAGGGGAGCGACCCACTCTGTTGGGCCGGGCCCTCTCCCGAGGCTCTTCCCTTACTTCGTGGCCAGCCTTCCCGTGTGTGGCCCCCACGTAACTCCTCACCTGTCTTCACTGTCCCGTGCTCCTCCTGCCACGTGGGAGGGGATACTGGTCACCCCGCTCCCCACCAGCCTCTGACTGCAGACTACAAAACCAAGCCTGGAACCAGCAAACCCAGGAGCCAGCACAGCCTGGTGAGCACCTTCACCCTCCCCAGCCAGTCACTTCAGTCACCCACACTCCAAACTGAGGTCCGTGGGAAGAAATAAGGAACAAAACAAGTGGAAGAGCCTAATAAGACCACCACTCAGTGAACTTGAGAGGGAGTGAACTTGGACATGAGCCTACTCTACAGGCTATGAAATCACCCCGGCCCCCATATTGGCAGCTGGCTCCAGGCCTCTTTCTTTGATCCCAGGAGAGTGCGTGTGCTGTAAATCCTTCAGCAGCCTTCTCCAGAAGGGTCCACTTTGCAATTGTTTGAACCCTGCCTGTTGGCTCTGCCTGGACTTCTGGGTGAGATTGCCGTGAGGTAACCTCTGAAAGCCAAGGCTGGAGCAGCTGTAAAACCCCAGGTTTATTTATTTGTTCTTGGAAGAGATTAAGCCACTAAATCACTGTTTAGTTGCAAATTTTTCATTAGCCTTTTTTTTTTTTTTAACCTTTTAGGATACAGTGGAGTCAGTGAAGCTCTGGGGAAGTTAAGGTTGAGATGAGGGGAGTTAGTGAATAGAGACCTTTTATAACACAAAGGTCGCCTCTAATAACCAGGGCAGGAAAACCACTCACTATGGCAAATATGTTCACGGCAAGGGCACAGGTTTGTTTGAACCCTGCATATTTGCTCTGCCTGGACTTCTGCCCACAGGCTCTTAGGGAATCAAAGGCTGGGAAAGAAGGAAATGACTCTCCTTGCGAGAGACACCCTCAGAGTGGCAGAAAGATGACTCACAAGCAAGGGCATGATAACAGGTGTGTCTGGATTGAGGCCCGGGACTAGGATCTGGCTATTTTTCTCCTGCAGGAGTTTTTTATAGAAATCCAAGCGGCAGCCCCTAAAGGCCAAGCAGCTTGTCTAGCTCAACAATATCCTCAGAGCAGCCGGTGTAGCTCAGTGGTAGCACACACTTCTCACACACTTGGTACGTGTGTGCGCCGGAAAAGAAATAAAAACTTAAAAATATTTTCCTCCCACCCACTAATGTCTTGCATTTAGTAAATATCTAATAAGTGAACATTGAATGAGTGTGTTCAGACCCTGGAGCCTCTGCTGAATCTCTCCTGTGAAAGTTTTCTGTATTTAAGAGAAAAAAAAAACTTCTGATCTTCCACGGGACAAAATGAGACTGCGGCCCAGACGACTGTGAACCTTGGGGATGCAGGCTTCCTGCAGGGTTTACATTTGTTTTAACCCTCCATAGTTTCATACCAAGGTGCCAATGTCTCCAGCTATGAGCCCAAGGGGTGGGGCTAGCTGATGTTGAAGGGCTACTTCAGCTTTTTAAGTCTAAGTTCTGAAAAACAAATAAAACACAGCATCTTCTGCAAAATCGGCAGAAAACGCTTTCTCCATGAAAGCTTCTTCGACAAGAACAAGACAGAGTACCTTATTAGCTGAGACATCATTGTAGTGTTTTCACCAAAAGAACTGTGGAAACCTCCACTGGCTTTATTATATTTATTTTTATTGTATTTTTTTTGCTTTCCATTTTTAGGAGAGATGGGGAGAAACACCTCCAAGAACGAGCATACATTCAGACTTCATTATTATATTTAATCCATATTTGTATTCTAGCCCTAAACAAATAAAACTGGAGTTTAAAACGATGGCTCTACAATACTGACAATAACTCAATTATCCAGAGAAAATTTCAGATTACATGGAGTTTGTTCCATATCACATATTACATTAAGAAGATATGTAATAACGCCAACTTGGGATGGCAGTCACATAGGAATTTTGTGGGGATCTACACCCAAATAACATGAATCACCTGAATGAGTCAGGATCATGGACCTGAATAATATTTTGGAAAAGTGCCCTCTTGTGGCAAAAATGTGGAATTGCCACATAGCAGTTTTGTCCTGATATCAAAAGTACTAGAGGAAGGGTAGCTGTGATTTATCCGGCATTTAATACATTTCAGGGACTGTCCTGGGTTTTTCCTGGAAATAAGATAAAGGACTTAATAAAGGAAGAGTCAAGGTCATAAGAGAATCAGAAGTCTTGTATTTCAAGTGAGCTCAAGCTGTCATTTATCTCCGTGAGTTCTGTGGTTCAGATCTTGAGTAGTCCCAGGAGGCCCATGTGCTAGGGGCTTGGTCCCTAGCTTCATGTGGTAACTCAAGCAGAGGGGGCTTAGTGGAAGGTCTTGGTGTCACTGGGGGCTATGCTCTCCAAGGGATTATGGGAACTCAGTCTCTTTGCATTTTTTGCTTCTTGTCCAGGAGGTGAATCTTATTACCTTACCACGTGCTCCTCCCTAGAGCCTCACCACAGTCTCCAAGCCATGGCCCCAGGCAATCATAGACTAACACCCCTGAAACTATGAGCCAAAATAACTTCTCCCCTCTCTTTTTAAAAATGTTTCAGTGCAAAGGATCAAAGTAAGGCCTTCCACATATGGGTTAGCCCTCTACTACTGAGCTACACCCCAGCCTAACTTTTCCTCTTTATAAGTTGATTTATCTGAGGTATTTGTTATAGTGACAGAAAGCTAACACACAGTTTTCCCCCTTGTGTATACCTGAAAACAGCATATTTTCCCGCTCCTTTATTGATTGTACTTCCTTGGAATTCTGAACTGTGATCAAGAAGCCTTGTAAGTCATACTTCATTTCCTGCTCACAGTTCTCTAATTTCAGGTTAGCAAAAATGAAAAGAGAAGACCCAAAAAAATGAAGCAACACACACACAAAAAAAAAAAAAAAAAAAAACTTGTAAAGGAGATGGAGAGAAATACAACTTAATACATTATAAAAACCTCCAGAAGTCCCAGGATCTTTAATTCAAACAAATTTACTTAACATCTGTGACTTGAGAGGCATTTAATGAACAGGAAAACACATATTTATATCACTACAGTTTGTATTTCTCAGTTACCTACTCTATCCCCAGCTCTCTCAAGTTCTCTATGTGTTTTACACAGTCAGTTTCTGTATGTTATTAGCACCGCATCTGATAAAACCGGTGGTCCATTCTCGAACGGTTTGTTGAGTAGTGCCAATGCTTACCACAAATCAGGCCTAGGAGACAAATATGTGCACATATTCAGATTCTGAGTGCTCAGCCCTTTCCTTTGAGTCCAGCACGGCCATGCAGACAGCGGCTGACGGATCTGGACCTCTGCGTCTCGCGGCGGGGATTCTCTCATCTGGGGCAAACTGTGACTTCAAAAAAATCCTAGTAGCTCCCGGCTGGTCTCTCTCTTTTTTTTTCCCACTGCACTTTTTTTTTAATTGGTTGTTCACAACATTACAAAGCTCTTGACATATCATATTTCATACATTTGATTCAAGTGGGTTATGAACTCCCAATTTTACCCC